AATGATATAAAAAAAAAGGTATATAGCTTGATTTTCATTTTTACACTGTTGATTTGTGTGTTTTCTTTAAACACAACAAATTCACCCTAATCAAACTAAGACTATGGTAAAAAAATGTAATTAAAAAAGTCTTCCACTTCCATGAGTAGCAGAAGTTTGTCTCATGGATTTATATCTTAGTTATAAAGACTGACAATGTTTTCAAAAGTCACATTTACAAAAAAATAAGATACAATTCAATTCAGTTTATTTATATAGCGCCAAATCACAACACGTCATCTCAAGATACTTTACAATTCAACCATATCATATATTTAAATTGATTCACAGTTTTCTATCTAAGGAAAACCAGTTGATTGCATCGACTCATTGACTTGAAGGCAATTCCTCCCACTAAGCATGCTTGTAGCGACAGTGGAGAGGAAAAACTCCCTTTTAACAGGAACAAACCTCCAGCAGAACCAGGCTCAGTGTGAGCGGCCATCGCCGAGGACGACTGGGGGTTGGGATTGGTATGTCGCTGTTTGACATCTCAATGGTAGCAAAAAGCACATACCTAAGTTATTTGTGTACTTTTTAATTAAAAAAAAGAGATTTTCCACAGAATATAATAAATCCCATTTTGAATTCAAACATAAAGCTGGAGTTGTATGGACTGACCATATATCTAATAGCTTATAGCTATTTTAACATTTTGCTTTATTAAGCCTTTAATTGGGCCTTACTTTAAATCTATTCTCTTATCAATGACTTCATATCAGGGGTCACCAAATATTTTAATGTTTAGAGCTTCTTCATGGGCACTGGTTCATAGGAAGGGCTACCAAACACTGCCCTATTAAATGGAGGAGTCAACATTCCCCTTAACTTCATACATGATTAACATATTTTATTGTTTCTTTTAATTTCTACTTTCTTTTATATTATTATAATATTGTCATTTTGAAATTAACATAAATGCTTAAATGGTCTACATAATTAATATGAGGAAATGCTCTATACATTTTTAAAATCGAAAAGCAAGAGAATAAAAGAACATTTCAAACTCAGCCCAGCGGTGTTCTGTTTTCAGGCGATGTTGAGGGCCCTCAATGTGGTCCTCGATGGCTCCTTGGTGTCCGCGGGCAAAGCATTGGTGACCCCTGCTTTATGTGAACAAAGACTAAGCATTTTCTATCAGTGCCTGTTGTCAGTATAACAGCTTGAATGTGTTTTGTGTAAAAGTGTCTTTTTTAGCAAATATAGTTTTAGTCAATAAACAGATTTTTTTATGGCTTAAAATCAATTAAAATCCCTAAATGTTCACTGTGAGGCTGTTGAGTTTTCTGGGGTTAATATACACTATAGTCTAGGTTGTGGTTCTATGGTATTACAGGCATAAATCAAATGCTAATCAGGGATTTATTCTTCAAACATTATTTGTTTTTAAGTTCATTTTTGAGGTTCATCAATATATATTTGTTTATGGAAGAGGCACGAATGTTGCCGCCAGCTGATGCACACGGGAAACCACAAAGGCTGAGCTCAAAGATGCTGTACTGTGATGTACCGCTTTTCTCTTCAGTGTCAATCGGGAAAAAAACAGCAAGACAAAACAACAAACAATGCTTTAAACAAACAGAGTTGTCACGTAGCAAAAGTATACATACTTCTTCGTCTTAATTAAGTAGAAATTTTGGGCTATCCATGCTTTACTGCAATGATTATTTTTTTAGACAACTTTTTACTTCTACTCCTTAATTTTTTTTGGCAAATCTCTAACCTCTGCTCCTCGTATTTTAAAGACAGACTCGTTATTTATGTTTTAGTGGAGCTCATTTTTGTTATGGCCTGTCGATATAAAAAAAAAAAATCATCAAAATAAAATAAAAATAAAAATGAATGATCCAGATGATTAATTTCTATGATGTTTGACTCGGTACTGCACCAGCTTTTTTTTGCAACATACCAAAATATTTTTTTCAAAGTTAAATTAGACACTCTTACGAATGGTTATAAAACCAAGAAAAATAAATATAGGAAATTTATCATTCAGAATTGGAGAAAAATGTTCCTTTAATAGAGTAGTGTAGTAACCGGTATAAGGTTTTCAGCCTCTGACCGCAACATTTTTTTTCTTGCATTACTTTTATACTTTATTTAATGTTAAAAATGGTACTTTTACACTTTTACTTGAGTAAAAACCTTAAGTGGATACTCTAATTTCTACAAAATAAATTTTAGACAGTAGGATTTATAGCTCTGCTTGAGTAATAAATATTAATACTTTTGACACCTCTGTGTAGAGCTAATTTGCTGGAAATAGAGCATTTGTTTGTTAAACCTACAGTAGAGCCGACAATTCAATCCAAAAATAAGTAAATTAGACTATTTCTCTCTGACATAGCCGTCTTTATGACTGATTCAGATATACACTGTAAACTGGATATTTACTTGCACCATGTAAAACATAAATATCATGTTTTCCCACTGGATGACACTAAAGGGGGATACAATTGTCCTGCTTTTAGTCAATTAATAATAACGAAATGTATTTTTATTTGCTAAATACCAAGATAATGGAGGAATGATGGTAGTACCTCTTTCAAACACAGTTTGCCAGAATTTCAGCCCATTCCTAAAGACAGAACTGCTGTTAATCAGTCAGACTAGAAACATTGCCTAAACACTGTTTCAGCTCTGCTGGAAGAGTCTCCATAGGATTCATGATCAGGTCTTTTTAAACGCCACTCCAAATGATTGATTTTGTTGTCTTTAAGCTGTTTTATAATTAATAGAGCTGTATACTTATAGGCATCATTGTCCATTTTTGAAAATCAGTTTGTGTCTAAGCTTTTATTTTCATGCTGATGAGTTGGTTTAATCTTGTTGCAATATTTCCACACATTAGCATATTTGCAGAAAATACACTAGAACATTTTTTACATAAAAAGGTTTCTGTATTTAAGTGTAATTTTTGAAGAGATGATCATGACACCTTTAGCCATTTAGGAAATGTTCCCAAGGATGAACTGGACTTGTTGAGGTCCACAGTTCTCTTCCTGATGACTCACCATCTTTGTCTACCTTTATATTACTCAATGAAGCAGACTGTTTGGGGGGTTTCCTTACATTATACCCCCAGAAGCGTATCCATTAATCATGAAATTATAAAAATTTTCTTAGCAGAAGCTTACAAAGTCATAATATCATCACTCAAGCTTTTCTTGTCTGTTTAAAAGCATTTCTTATCATCACAATGCAAGTATAGTCTTCAATTTTAATAAATATCTCTCATAACAGCATGTAGACTATATAAATAATTTTGGTCAACTTAATTCACTTAAGGAAAACTGATTAAGTATAGAGAATGAGGGGGGGAAAGGTTGTCATAGTTTACATAAATATATGGATTCAAATGAATGAGTGGGATTAATGTAGACATAGTCCCATTTTTTTTTTCTCAATTACTTCATCTGTACAGCACTTGTGGTCTCATGTAATCAGAACGTGGATGTGGATAAATATACGATTTGATTCTCACCTTTATATGCATTTATGCTTTCTTGATAAGATGCTGTTTTTAATAAGATTTCATGGCATTATACTATAGAGAATAACTGTCATTTTCACTTTGTCTACTTTTCTTTTAAATGTAAAACTTTCCTGCTGCTTCCACTCAAGCTGAATAGCCCAAGGTTGAATATTAAAATAAAAATTGTCTTCCAGTTCAATAAGACGCAAATGTAAGTGTATCTCATGGCATTATTTACTTTTACTCAAACACTAAAATTCTTACTTTTATATAGCAACTCCAGACTCAGCCTGTTGGTTTAGCTAGTTGAAGGATTATTTTTTTTTTTTTTTTTGTTAAATGCATTGATAATGTTTTGTCATCGTCAAGCCATATGCTGCAAAAGTTTTTCCAGAGCTATCTCATACATATAGCCAATATACTGTACGCAATGATAAAGCTGGAGTTCAGAGCAATGCAGCAACACTAACAAAGCTCGCAGCTCGCCACCTAATCCAAGTCGTTTAAAATAAAAAAAGTCTTAACTTTACTGTTTAAGTATCTAAATTAAAGTGTTTTCCAAAGTTCCTACAAGACAGACATTTGTCAGGTATTAAAAAGAATTTTCGATGATTGACATATAGAGACCTAACAAGTTTTATGTCAAATAGACAATGAACCTTTGTTCTTTGAACTATATATTTTTTTTATACCATGAAAACGTATGCATTTTGTCAAAACTACAAAACCAACTTCGTTTATAATTTAATATATGATGCTTAAAAAAAAAAAAAAAAAAAAAAAGTATCTAGCAATTGTTGCCTCTGCCCAAGTTGAAACAAACCAGGGTGTACACTATCTCTAAAGGAAAAAAAACAAACTTGAATTTAGGTATTAGTAGTAGTAGTCCTTTCCACATTGGTGAAGACCTTTATCTAATGATTTATTCAGAGTAAATGTCAAAGTATTTCTATTGAAAAATAGTTGTGCTGTAGTCTCCAGACATTTTAATTTGTCTCCATTTTGTGGTCATCTTAAAGCAGTTAGAAAAAATTTTAAGTGGATAGCTACCTAAATCATTCTTTGAGCCATCGCAGGCAGTCTGATGCTCTAAACTCTATAAAAAGTCAGCCATATATGTGATATCTGTGGTAAAGCATGCACCAAGATAACCTTCAAGGCTTAGGTTGTAAGAATGTAGACAGGCTTCCTCTCAACATCTGTGACACAGTTTCACACACCTGTATATACTGAAAAACATTTTCTGATATTATCTTTGGCTTAGACACAAAAGTTACTTTCATAAGTGTTATTGAAAAGACATGAAGCACACACAAGATTAAAGACAGACCAGTTTACTCGTTTTCAAACTTTGTTTCAACAAGGTTGGGTCACAAGTGTCCAAGTTCAAAATGTTTTCCAGAGCAGCAAAAAAAAAAAACAACAAAAAAAAACCCCATATGACATAAGGTTATTAAAACACTGGTTTAAAAACAAAAAAACAACCTCAAAACATACATAAGAATGCCCCCAGAAAAACAAACAAAAGGAATGTTTTACACATCAGAGTAGTGTAGGATTGATAAAATGAATTTTCTTTTGAGACATTTTTAAAATGCTGAAACTGGCCACCATTTTTAAATCGCACATACTGACCCAACTAATGCGCCGTTATTGAAACAAAAGAAAACATTTCCCGCTTCATTTTAACGTTTAAACCAACTAAATCCCAAGATGTAGCACTTCAGACTCAAGTTTCCCCTAAAAAATAAATCTGATCAGCTAACAATTTTGCTGTAGGTCTGGCGCCATCTTCAGACAATAAAGGGGAACTGCAGAATCACTGCTTTTTCAGGTCCTAGTGTGATCATGTCCAAACTGACAGACATGCCCTCTGTTAAGTCTTCATCCGTCGATAGTTTCACTCTTGCCTTCTCTGGCACAGTTACACCTTCTGCAGGAGCAAAATAATAAAAAAAAAAATTTATAAAAGTTAAAGAAATACACCCACATCAAACTGCACAACTGATTTGCTACAGTGACCCGTTACTATTTAGTCTCAAACTTACCTGTAGGTGGCAGTGTTAGTTTTAGCTTTGAGGGTTTTGTTCCCCAGTTGACAACAGTTATGTATCTTTCGCTCTGGTCCCACACCCGAAGGAAAGCGAGGGAGGTCTCAGTGGAGTTCAAAGGGTAATAGTCGCCATGAAGCAGCGAGCGCTCTTTGCCTCGCAGGTCACTGAGGGATTTGAACCAGGACCTCAAATTGCTGCGTTGTGTCCGGTCCGCCTGCATAAGTGAAATATAAGGATGTTTAAAATAAGCAGAGAGAGAGGAAATAAATGTCCTTTTTATTAAGGGAGGGACCAAATCATGACTAACTGAGCAAACTTACTTTAGCAGCCTCATCCAAAGACTCAAGATTTTCCTCGTCCCAAATCATCTTGGGTGATGTTTTATTCTGAAAAAGTAAGAAGTTTTATTACTCATATCAAGTACGACCAATCGTAAGGTTTATCACGGTTCTCTGATTACAATTTTATCCGGCCAACATTTTTTTAAATAAAATATGAAAGTATTTGTCCAGATCTCTTTTAACTCATGCATTTAAACAATGCATTTATAGACAAAATATGAGTTTTAACCCTGTATTGGTCAAATGAATAGGGAAACGAACATTGTAGGATATGCCGAGCACAGAACAGAAACACTTAGGCCTAATTAGTAAATAACCCTAATCAGCTTAGAACTTACTTCTGCTACGAGGCCAATTTCATCTCCGTAGGTAAACACTGGTGTTCCAGGCAGGGTGAACAACAGGAGCTGGTAGAGTTGCTGTAGGTCTGAAGACTTTGCCACTTTAGACAAAGGCTGCAGTTTACTTGCACCCAGACTCCAGCCTACGCTTCTCTGCTGAGAGTACAGGGCATCCACAGCTTTGATCCGCTCCACACCTGAAAATCCAGGTAATAAAGTCAAAACTACATGGTAGAACACACAGAAAACAGGTTTCTCAACACAGACAGCCGAAACTTACCATTTTCTTGGGTGCTGAGAAGGTCAGGCAGGACAAGATCCACACCGCTGGTGTTAACCAACTGCGACACGCCCATAGCTGAGAGACCACTCACGACACCAATCAGCGCCCTGGTAAGTAATATTAGGTCAGTCACAGATCTAAACAAACAAAGCCTAACGATTTCAAATCTAGAATGTGCCATTTACACTCCAGTTTATTAAGAAAGCTAAATATGAACATAGTTGAGAGTTAATTAACAGTAATCTAAGATATAGACCTGGAAAATCAGGATGCAGTCAATGCTTAAAAAGAAGTCCGGTCATTTTAAATGGGTTCTTTCTAAACATGGTGATCTGTCCTTACAAGGTTATTAAAACATTCACCACCAGGGGTCACTACCATATCTACAAAAAAAAACCTCACTAATCCATGAGTTCTTGCTGATATTTCTCCACATTACACCTGAGAGAGGAATGCTTTCGATTTCAAAACTCAATGAGGAGAGGTCAACTTATTAAAAATAAATAAATAGTACAAAGAATAGCCAGTTCAAATGCTAAAAATCAGCCATAGATCTCTTTTTCTCCATGTCAGCGGGTAAAGGTCCAATCGTAGTTCATTTCTCTACACTGGATGACAGGCGGTCAAAACAGATTTACTCACTTCTTTTTGCTGTCCTCGGTGCGGTTTGCCTGGATGGCATCTTTAAGCTTCTGCCAATCGGCAAAGTCAGAAGCAATGTCTAGGCCGGATAACTTGATACCATCAAAACCCTGTTTGAGCCAGTACTCAACAGCATCCTGGAAAAGAGCAGCATCATCTCAGGTACAGCAGTGGAAATAGCTTGCTGACTAATCCACAATGTATGTTAGAGTTGGACAAACCAAAAGAAATGGCTCACCTGGAGTTTCTCCATTACTTCTTCAATGTTCCTGGTGAACCATGGAACAGATCCTAAATAGTTTGGAGTCAGGTCAAGAACCACAGGAATACCTTAAAGAGAAACGAGAAAGCCATTAAATCATGTTATAACTAGATAACTTTAATTCAAAGCTTCCGTCTTTAAATAAAAACCTACTTTTTTTGTGAGCCCTCTCCAACACAGCCTCCAATTCTTCCTTTTTGCCAAAGGTTGGGTCTATCTCTTTAAGATTGAGAGTGCTTAGCTGATCAGCCTGGAGGGTGTGAAACGGACCAAGAACCAGGCCTTTGATCTTTATCTGGTTCAGCTGATCCAACTTCTCTACAAGACCTGGTGAAAGATAAATTACATGTAAAATGAATCCTTGGTATGGATTTCAAATGAAAAAAAAAAAAAAAAAACTATCTAGAAAAGACAAGTAAGAAACTGCAGATTTTGTGAAAGGGGCCTAAAACAGAGCTGAGAGACAAACTTTAGGAGGAAAAAAAGAAGTGTGAAATAACAGACAAGTATTGACTTAAGACAGAACTATGTGAACTACAACATCCTCTACCAGCCTTGTGAAGTCTGAGCACACAAGAGGCATCTCTATGTGAGAACAATAAAGTCACATGTGGTTTTTGGAATTCCTCCCAAAGCCCACTGGAAAGCACAGTGTTCCCCCTAATTGGCAACAAGTACAGGACATTCTGTCCTTTTGACCCATCTCCAAAAAACTAGAGCACCCAGAAACCCTTTTTAAACTTTCCTAAAAGGAGAATTAGTTTAGAGCAGTCCAGTATGACCTTACATCTGGACAGGAGGTATAAAGGAAGTGACTCAATGGTGCTTTATGTCCCTTTGGCCTGTGCTTACACAGGCTGGGCCAAGTCAGCAGTTTATTATCCAACTAAGCAAGACTGTCACAAGACTTATCACATGTGAAACAGCTGAAACAATGATAGGCTAAGTCTAATTTTGCACAGAACATTACCACAGGAAGCAGACGGATGGATTAACTTCTTCCAAATCTCCTAAAACAATTTACCTTTCATGTCTGTGGAGAAGCCCTCAATGTCAGAGATCTGGTACAGAGGTCCTTCATTCCACCAGTTCATCTCAGGGATGGGTTTGCAGCGGGGGGCTTGGACGATGATCACTATCGCCCCGGCTAGCATGCCAACCCAGCCCAGCCAGAACAGGATGAGCAGCACCCAGCGGGTTCGGACCCACCTGTAGTTTAAACATAGATTTAAAATTGGAGAATACTTAAACTGCAATCAGCATAATGAGGTTTCATTCCATCAGCTCTTACCCTGGGGTCCCAGCGACTTTCATCAGCTCCTCCTTGGACAGGCCGGTGAATGTCACATCATCATCCGGTACCTTAAGCTTCACGCTGCCATTCTTCTCCCCAGCAGGAGCAGGACCGTCACCTGTCATAGGCTGCTTCTCCTGGTCCATCTCGTTCAGCTTCACCTCCTCCATGTCGATCTCTGTGTCCTTACTCATGGTTGAATCTGACAAATAACAGGGGAAAAAAGAGCTACCAACTTAGTTTGTGATCATATCTTCAGTGTTTTAAAAAAAATGAATAAAAATAATAACTTAATAATGTGATACATGCAGATTAAAAATAATAATATTATATATATATATATATATATATATATATATATATATATATACAGATCAAAATGTATAATATAGTTTGTGTATATTAATGATTATGTAGAGCATTTGAAATAAATCTTAATTTTTTCCAGAGACATCTGGTGCATAAAACTTATAAACGTGTTACAATAAACAGTTCCGTGTTCAACAGTTGTCTGATGAAATACACCCGCTAAATTACACTGTCAGCGGAAACAATGACCTTCAAAATAAAAGGGCGAGGCATTTTTAAAAATTAAATTAATGGGTAACCAAAAACATTACACGTCGGAATATATTACTGCCGTGTTATTTGTAAATAAATGCTTAATTCGCGCAACTTCTCAAAAACATAGTAGCATTAAAATAATAAATTATAAATAGTGATTGTTTTAATTTGTTGAACCGGAAAAGAAGCCAACCGGCGTTTGGACAGGTTATTTCGGGTTTAATAAATTACTCCTTCGCAAAAATAAACAATAAAACCCACACGCATTACGGGCATAACTAAAAACACCACTTTGAATAGTTAAATTAACTTAAAATAACTGTTTAATATTCCAGATGATGAAATCGACCTACGTCAGGCTCCACTCCACGTGCTAAAAGCGTCAATTTCCCTTCGAGATTTTAAAAATTTACCATAAATAAAAAGAACAAGCTATACGATTCGCTTAAAGAAGTAGAAAAATCACACCAAATAAGTTCAGTGTTACCTGTAATAAGCGGTAAATGTCCGTGAGGTTTATTGTTCCTTTTTGTGTCGTGTACTCCCCTGATCTCTGCCGAAAAAGCCGGTAGGAGTTTATATATAGCTTAGTTTTAGCCCCGCCCACCGTGATACCAACCTATCCAGTCGATCTCATTCTCTCTCTCTGTATCAAAATAAGATTATATTTTACAAAAAATAATGACGTTCAAATAGATTTTTCCCCCTTACTACAATCACAGTCAGAAATAATGTACTGCTATTCAGGCTGAATTGCTCACATTCAGTTCGCCCTTTTTAATAGTTACACAAAGTACATAGTGTACTTTTTGAGCATGAGTATAAACTAAATGTTCTCTTACTCCGAAAATGGAGTCATCATGATTGTTTTAGCACATGTTTTAGTTAAAAAAAAAAAACCTTAACCCTTTGATCTTTAGATGATTGGCTTATCTGTTTATCTCAGGCCTAATTAAATCATCATGTCTATACAATGCTTTCTTTAACTTTGATTAATGGGCTACAGACAGTCAAGTTAAAATTAATGTTTTCTCAGGGATAAGGTCTGTCATGCATAATCTAACAATGAAATAGAAAAGAAAGAACAGAGAGGAAAAGGTAGTCAATTCATTAGAAATTTCCTGATTTTGTCACATTTCAAATACCAATTCTCAATACTAGATGGCTGCAAATAAGTGTATAATTGTAAAAAGAAAAAAATATAGATGATCTTAATCTCTGCATTGTTTTGCAAATAAATAACCAAAAAAAAAAATTAGCACCATCAGTTTTGAAACGACTCAAAAAACAAATCCAAAGCGGTAAATTGTCACTAAAGTATCCTACTATGTAATAAGTAATTTGAGAGTCATTCAGCATTAAGAACAAGTAACACATATATCAGAAGAGGGATATAATTGCAGAGTATTTGAAATTTTGGTCATAAAATGAATTTCTAAATTTCTTTGTTTTGATAAAACTAAAAGAGAACTTTTAGATTTACATGGAAAATTCAGCATTTCATCCTAAAGCATGGCAAAGGCAGCATTATACTCAGGGGAAGCTTAACTACAGGAAAGACTGGGAAGCAGAGAGTATGATGATTTAAATGGCAATTATAAGTAACACCAGATTTAAACACACTTAAGACTGTAAGGAACTACACTTTTCAGAAAACATGAATGTACAACCGGAGCTTTGGTGGGAGGGTTTAGATCAAAATAGTCTAAATAATTAAAGTCTAAACTGAAAGATTCCGGATATCCACTCGTTCAGTCTTAAACTTATGTAGAAGTCTTATTTTTTAAATGTTAAAAATATCTTAAACTCATATTTCTTTCCCATTTTCATATCCCACAGAGCTATCTTGAGAGCTCTTACATACAATCCTAAATAAATAGAACAAAAACAAAAGGTGGAAAAATTGGATGGGGCAGGAACGCCTCTACAAGGCACTGATTGTCTAGCCATGAGAGACTAAAATGCACACAGCATGTAAGTTTATGTAAACTTTCTATGTTTTCTCTGTTTTGAGCTTATTTTCCTGCCTCCTACAATGGACGGGGTTAGCTCAAAGACTTTTCTCGGCAAAGGTATAAAACAGCGCTATGTTCTCGTATGTCTGCTTTTTACCTTGCAGCTCTTTTGTTTTTGTGTGACCATTTTCTATTTTGATTTGATCCGTTTTCGCTTATGACTGAAGTCATAATTCAGCCTGTGTTATGTTAGAGTCAATTTCTGTGATCAGATCTGAAAAACAACATCCTCCTCCCCTCTCTGGCTCTGCTCTGACACATTTCCCAGCTGTTGTTGAGCTTCATTGGGTTACAGTAATGGCATAGTTCTCAGAAAAACCTCCCAGAACAATGTTTAATGAACACAATCTGGGGCTTTATGGTCTACAGTACAAGGTTGTTTATGAGTACTTTTTTTACCTGCAAAGTTAACAATTTCATCTAACAATCATTTATTGAATCATCAACGTAACTAAATCTATGATGATTTCAAATTGTTTTGACCCTGTTTTAACTCGTTTTTTCATAACATGTATTTGATGTAACACCTGTTTTATATTTCTCTCAGTCCGTTGCTCTAAAAGTGAAAAACAAGTCAACTACTATATGAAGCTGCAGGAACAAGCTCACGTTATTATTATTATTCTTTTCTCACGTGACTGCACCACTGCATGTATCTGCTTGCTCTTTTGATGTTTTTGTACAACCACCTTATGAAATTAGAAAAAAAATCCTCCCAGTGATGTTTGGTAAATTTAATTTGAACCGGTTAATCCTGAGTACAAACAGACTTTTTAAAATTAGTATCACACATACCGTAGATTAAATTCCATTTGACCCACATATCCATCAGGTATAAGGGTATACAGTAAATTTGCAATGCAGCTTCTCAATTCAGCACTATGTCAGAATGTCTGTAGGGGTCTTGGCTAAAATGCTTGCAAATCTATTTTGGTCCCTGTTACACAGCAGCATTTAATCACCTAAGTTAGCCCTCAGAGAGTGTTTCAGTACTGAGCCGTACTGGGAATTAGGAACTTGATCCAGAGTAAATGTCATTATTTCCAGGACTAAAACCTTTTTAGTGTTGTTATAAACCATCATAATTAGTGGGATGTTAAAAGCTGTTGGCAAAAAGGATCTTCTGCTTGTTATAAACTGGATCAACCCTAAATATTGTTTACTGGTAATATCTGTGACAGACCACTACAGAGCAGTACGTTGTTAGGATTTGAACAAAACTGCTTCATGCTTTCTAACAATTTCTAAAAATGTCCAGACCTCCTAACTTGGATGCGCTCTGCAAAAACATCTGGTGCAAATAACTGTGTTCCGGCACCAGCATAGTATGTCCCTGTATAAATCCAGCTGTTCTGTGAAGGCCTCAGAGGTTTCCTAGAAGATTTATGTAATCGACCAGCACCAGAACCGCAAGGAATGTATGAGGTTGATGAAGTGTTTTATTTGTATAGCACAATCCAGTACAACACCATTTAAAGTGCAGTACATTAATGATTTAGTAAAATAGAAGCAAAATGAAAAGAATAAAAGGCAGTAAAAGATAAAAACACAATAAAATCAGGTAACAGTTGGACTGCAAACTTAAACTAATAATACCTTAGTTAAAAGTTTAACTTCAACTGTCAAAGGCAGCTCTGAACTAATGAGTTTTTTGACTCAAAAGAGCTCAGGCTTTCAGCACTTTTACAGTCTTCTGGTAGTTTGTTCCAAATAAGTGAAGCATAGGAACTAATTGCTGTTTCTCCATGTTTGGTTCTAGTTCTGGGTTTACAGAGTAGGCTTGGATTAAAAGATCGGAGTGGTCTGGGAGGTTGATACACTGGAAACAAATCTGATATGTGATGGAGTGCTGATCCATTCAGTGATTTATAGACTAACAGAAGGATTTTAAAGTCTATTCTCTGAGCTACAGGGAGCCAGTTGAAGGACTTCAGAACTGGGCTGATGTGCTCTACTTTCTCAGTTCAAGTGAGGACACTGGCATGCAGTGTCTTGGATCAGATTAATTTTTTTTAGGGAAACCTACTGTATGAAGACACTGCTGCAGCATAAATTCTACTAAAGATGAATGCATGAATTAGTTTTTCAAGGTCCTGCTGAGACCTGCAGGAGGATTGAAGGTTTTAAACACTGTAGGTGGAGGTCTACTTTCCAGTGGGACAATTACACTAAACATTCAATCAAAAGGAAAATGCCATTTGTGCAAATGGATCAGTCAAAGAATACATGCAAAAGCACACTTTTCACATTTTTTAATCTTAGGGAAAAATGAAAACCACAAATCCTTTTCCTTCCACATCACAATAATGCAACACATAAACTATTGGTCAAGAAAACGAACATGTTTGGTTTTAACATGATCAATTAAGACAAACAGATACTCATGGACTTCTCTCTCCACTCAGTCCCACCATCTGTTCTCTTTTTATCTCTGCGTGATGATCACATGTACACAGAGTTGGGTTGTAGCAGAGCTGCTGACTGATGTGAGCACAGTGTGCTGTTGATCTGCAGGACATGGTGCAAGAGATTAAACGGCAAATGGTCTTTATTTTTGTCACTAATTTTTGTCATCTTTCAAGGCAGCGGAGTGGAACAGCAGGAAATATGTTGAAACGAAAACAGGGAGGAAAAAATATGCCGTGTCAGTGGAAGTAAGATGAAGGGGAGGAGTTTTGAAAATAAGGGGAAAGGGCATACAGTAAGAGCTAAACGTGAAGATGTAAACATGTTTATGAGAAGAAGAGGAAGAAAATATTAAAGTGATGTTAAGAATGGAAAACACATTGATGTTTTCACTCATGTTTATTGAAACTTGATCCAAACAGATGGAGATGAGCTCATGTAGTCATGTTTTTTCTTAAAGGTTGTGGTGGGAAAAGAGTTAAAGGTATCAGTTCACTAAAGTTTGAGTTCATCTGAACAAACAAAGGAAAACTAGGTCAAAGCTGCAGGGAAGAAATTCCTGTTTTCTCTGGTTCAATTACAGATACAGTAGATTTGTACATTGTACAACACATCTGGTTAGGGAGTGAGCCTCCACAAGCACAAAACATCCCACTGCTGCTATAAAAAGAAAGGGGAAAAAAAAAGACCAAATAAAGCAAAATAAAAATGAGGAAATGAGTAGTGCTTATTTCCACCTTTCAAAACTGAAAGAACTCTGAGAGTTTCTAGAGTTGATTAAACATAGTCAGACAGGCAGAGATGCCGCCTCAATAAATCCGAGTCTGATCCCCAGAGAGAGGGAGTTTGTTTTGTGAGACGGAATGACCTCGATGGAAAAAAGAAAAACGCAGAGTGAAGCAAAACAATCCTGGACCAGTTCAGACCAGTCTGTCTGAGGATGCATGCTTTTCATCACGCTGATATTCAGACACCCTACCTACAGATAGCTGTATTTGAAACAATTAACTGATTCGGTGTCAGCACACTATAAATACTAAGGGGTTTGCTAAAAGTCCTTTCCTTTTTTTGCAACTCTTGACCCATCTAAAATCCAGCCAATCTATACAATATGCTTGTGATTCAAAATGTAAATAAGAGGTAAAATTAGACCGCTGTGCAGAATTTTGGAAGTTCCTATTATACAAATAATTTAGTCTTGGACTTTGAGTTGTGTGCTGCAGCCCTTTATGTATAATTCACTGATATGACTTCTTTATTGTAGGTGTTTATTAACCCATGGCTGAAATATGTTTCTCAACTTATCATGTTTGTTTCAAAATAAAACATTTTCATCCGTTGTTTTTTATTAGCTTAAAAGTGTCCCAGTTTTCTCTCACAGGAAGTCTAGCCTATTAACCTATTTAGGTCACCTCATCTGTTCACATTCCTTATAAAACTATGCCAAGGAACTTATAAAGAAATCCGTTGTGCAGAGTTATGTCATTCTACATACCCTGTATTTCGCAAATAGTCATACCTCTTGAACCTTTTTACGTTTATGTTACAACCAGAAATTTGAAAATAGTTTATTGGGGTTTGATGTCATTGTACAACACAAAGTAAAGCATATATGTGAAAGGAAAAAATAAAATAATGTGTCATTTTACAACCAATATACAGCTATGGACATTTTTACGATAATGGATATTTGAAAATAGCATTTGCCAAACAGCAAATAAACACCTTAAACAATGAAAATAGCAGCAACATAGTGTATATAAAGAAGCCACTTTTATTTTCAGATAAAAAAAACACAAAAAGGCACACAATTTTGTCAATATATCACATAAAATGCAAATAAAATATGTCAAAATGTATTTTTATAATGTAAGAAAACGTGAAAGCAAATAACAAGAGTGGAAGGGGTGTGAATACATTGGTTAGGCACTGTAAGAAGTCTCTTAGCAGTAAGTGGTTTATTCAGTATGCATGTGTTGAGCCTCTTTAAATCCTCGCAACCCCTTTGAGCTCCTCTTTATGTAACTGCCCTGCAAACAATGGCTACACGTTATGTAAGAAGCCCCTTGCTGTGAACTAAAGAGACTCGGTACAATACTTTAGTCTTCCCTTCAGCTGTACAGACCCGTCAGCAGAGTGGCGCAGCGGAAGCGTGCTGGGCCCATAACCCAGAGGTCGATGGATCGAAACCATCCTCTGCTATTTTGTAAAGAGTTGATATATTGCACGGCAACGCCAGCTCATTCGCTCTTTTTCACAGTTCATTTCACCAGGGGGCAGCTGGACCTCAGATTAAACATTTACCTCATTTGCGCCTGTTACACATTTTCCTTTCAATTTAACAGGCAATGAGAGCAGCAGCTGTATCGATGAACACAGACCTTTGACTTACTGTCTGTTAGAGATAATCTCTCATAAAAAAGACTTTGATTCTGAGGAAATATAACATATTTTATCAGGTTGAATTAATTTATGAGTCTGTCAGGGAGAAGCCAGTTCTGCTGCTTTTACTACATGGACACTTTGGGAATGCTGATAAGGTTATGTGTTACACAACATTCATTGTTGGAGGTTCCGCACAGTTGAAGTTGTCTGTTCTTGATCTCTTTGTTCTATTGTGTCTAACCGGGGATACTCAAGAAGACTGCTTGGTTTCCTCGTTTGCATCTCCTCTGATGTATAGAATGTGTTTATTTTTAGACATGTAAACATAGACTTACTGTAGTCAAGTCAGTAAAAAGAACCAAGAAATGCAAAAAATAAAATGAATGAGAACTTCTATTTCTTTCATTTCGACATTCAACCCTCGTTTACGTTCTGCTTTTACTGTAGCCTTTTGGATATCGCCCCCTAGAGGATCCTAAATGGCACTACTATCTGAAGAGATTTGAATTACAACCAGTATAAATAAATATATAAGCAAATATATAAATAAATACATAAATAAACATTATTGATAGTAGTAGAACCTGTTCTGTGTGGTAGTTCTGGATGCAAAAATAAATTACTTCATCGGGACACTAACTACAATGAGTTTCATCAACTTTAATTTTGCCAAGACTACTGACATCAAAGACAAAACCACATGAACAACTGGGCTTACTTACGTCCAATCCATATAATAATTTTCCTACTTTAATAAGAATTAAATACACTTTTCCAATTGTTAACAGCCGTTTTTTCAGATTTTTTGTGATAAGGATAATTTTAAGTTTCGAGTTTAAAATACGCAATTTGACTTCACTTCTAAATCATCACAATAAGAAATAAAGTTAACATGAGCACCCTATATTCAAAATAATCAAAGTGAGCGTTTGATTCCAGGGGGAACTTGCCACTCAAAACATAGCTGGCTTGTAAGCGAAACGGTCGTCTCCTCTTCTTTACGTAAGCACGCATTAGAATACGTCACGAACCAGGAAACGTCCGCAGTGAGTGAAGAATCACAACAGAGCAGCTCCTGCAACCCTTTTCCCTCATCGTCTCACTTCGTGTTGACGTTTATTTATTTATTTATCTATCTTAGGACATGTCACGAAAACTTAAAGAAGAATATCACAGGTTCTTCTCTGTATCTGACCCACGGACCCACGAGAAGGGCCACACGGAATACAAAGTGACAGCCAGGGTTAGTTATGACTCTTTATCGTCGTTTGGTTATTGGTTACAGTTAAAATACTTAATACATTTCTAGGTTATTCATTTTTTTGTATTGTTTGTTTTTGCTATCAAAACCAAAACAAGTTCATTTATTTTATGTGAAATCAGAAACTTGTGTAGATGTAAGGGCGAATGCACAATGAGTGTTTATATTTTCAGGTTTTGCTGGAGGGAAACACAGACAGGACTGGTGTGTCATGTGTTCCAGCAGCCTGAATGCCTCCCCTGTGGGGATTTAAGCTTACATCATTTTTCCACTGACTTCAGGAAGGCAGCTCTCTGCAGACATGTTTAATCAAATAATGGTCTATAAAAAAATCTATTTCTGTCCCTCATTGTTGTTTTGTAGTTTGTGTCCAAGCGTCATCCTGAAGATGTGAAGGAGGTGGTGGTATGGAAGAGGTTCTCTGAGCTGAAGAAGCTCCATGGAGAGCTGGCCTACACTCACAGGAACTTGTTCAGGAGACAGGAGGAGTTTCCTGCTTTCCCAAGAGCACAAGTTTTTGGTTTGTTGAACAAAAGCTGCATTAAGTCTACTCATCTGGTTATCTTCACTACTGCTAGTGTAATAACAAATAGATAAGCGACTCTAGAAAGTTAGCAAAAGCGGTGCTACCACTGATACAATACAAAGCTTGTGTTTCACCTGTGATTTGCCTGCAAACATTTTAAGTGTTTTTTAGCTATATTTTTTATTAAAATGTATTTATCGCTGATTGAACATTCTTCCTTTTTCAATTATTTTTAGCATAGGTGTCAAGTACTGTATTTAAGGACACTTTTAGGTATCTATACTTTACTCCACTACTTATTTTTCTTCCTACTTCTGACTTCTACTCATTAAATTTTCACAAAAATATCTGTACTTTTTATTCCTTACATTTTTAAAACCAACATTACTCGTTACTCTTGGCTTCAGTTTAATGTTTATAAATATTTATTTCACGTCATGTGCGCCATCTGCACCTTCTTTAATTACTAGTGCAATATGTGACCAGTGAATTTCTCCACTGTGAGATCAATAAAGCTTATCTAATCTAATCTAATCATCTAATACAGATCATTGGTGCCATCCATATCTAGTGAAAACTAGTGTTGTTGGATGAGTTATATAATGCAAACAATTATTGGTTAGCTAAAGGAAATCATCAGAAGATGGACTCATCAACATAGTTGAATTATGCTCTAATTTCTAATTAAAGGACCTATTTTCGTCCAACTAAAAGCCATGAAACTGTTGGTTTGAGGTGAATTTAAACAATATGACACAGTCGTTTTTCCGTAATTCCACACCTTGTCTAAAGCTCAAGTAAAACCAGTTTGAAGACAGGCCCTCTGCATGGTTCTGCCACTACCATCCCTGTGCAAATTCTTGATGAGATAAGACATATAGAACACAATCTTATCTTCTATCTCAACAATGTTATATTTTGGTTAAATTGTGAAAATTTATCCACATGACAACATTTACAAATTTATTGGAAAGATTTTTGTGAATGATCAAACTTCCTAATCAGCTGGATCATGATTCAAACTGCATAATGAATATGTTTTGACGTTTTGCTAAGTGTTTCTGTCTGTTTTAGTGCCAAGACTTTTTATTCAAAGCATTACCAGCACCATAACCTGCTTCATTACCACATTGTGTGTGTTTATTTTAGGAAGGTTTGATGAAGCTGTGATTGAGGAGAGGAGGAAGGCAGCCGAGAGCATGCTTCTATTCACCACCAGCATTCCTGCACTCTACAACAGCCCACAGCTAAAGGAGTTCTTCCGAGTAAGAATAGGAACTCAGAACACCCTGTGCAAATAGTTACCCCATTTACAGTACCCTTCAACAACCGTGCTGTGACCGGTCCGAGCTCAGTAACTGAGATAACTTATCGTGTGTAAATGGAAAGCAAACTGAACTGAACCGAGCTAGAAACAACCGAACCGAGATAAATGCAGACCAGTTCCAGAGGTGGGCTCGGCTCGGTTTTTCCCTGGCTCGGTTCTCTGATAACCAGAGTGCATGAGCAGAACGCATCATCTCCGTCTAGCTGCACATCCCGATTCACACTCCATTCCAGTTGTTGGCGGTAATGCCGCTCCGGACGTTGCTTGCCAACCAACACAAAACAGAAGAAGAACAACAACTAGAAACAACACTCGAAATCTTCTCCACGCAACATTTTGGTTTGCTTGATTCCCTTCCTTTTTCATCTTCTTCTTCATGTGTTTTATGGCGGTTGGCAAACAACTTTTGGTGCATTACCGCCACCAACAGCTTGATTTCCTCGTTCAATACTGGCAGTAATACCGCAGATCGTCTTTAGGAGGCGAGGAGTCGAGGAACCGATATAAAGTGATGGGTAAACAGTCGTCAGAACCGAGCTCGTGCTGGTTAACTGATCCGAGCTCGGACCGGTCTCAGCATTGATCGGTTTTTCAAGGGTAGTGTAAATGGGATAAGTGTTTACTTAATTTCTTTTTATTTTTATTCCACAAAACCTAGAATCTCACTTTGTTTCCGTACCATCTCTTTCCTCCTCTTTCTTCTTTATAACTTCAGGGTGGTGAAGTCACGAGGCCTTTGGATCCCTCGCCTGTGTCCTCAGCTGGGCCTCTGCCCCCCCCACTAATCCCCCTGCCAAAGAGGAGGGCCTCAGACTGTGAACCTGCTGAAGAGGAGGAGGGGAGGGAGGCTCCCACCTTACCGCAAGACTTAGGCACCAACATTAGCTTGGAGATTGGGGAACCAGAGGTGGCTGCTGAGGCCTTTAATGAGATCGTAGGCTCTCTGACAGAAGATGACCAAGATGGCCTTAGTGATACAGAACTGGATAATGGAGGTATAAGTCAAGGAGCATGTCTTTCTTTCTTTCTTTTTTTCTTTCTCTCTATCCCTCTCTCCCTCTCTCTCCCCCTCCCTCCCATTCATCATACCTTATTGTCCATTTTTCCACCTCCAGTATCCTGCCCTGAACCAACACTAACAACACACCACCAGTCAGAGGAGAGGCAGGAAGAATTTGATTCATTGTTTGACTCAGTGGTGGAAGAGCACATCCCGTCCCCTAAGGAAGAGAGGCCCCCTCCTCTGTCTGAAAATGACTTGGCTGTCTTTGATCCCTGCTTTAAACAAGGTGGTTTAAACTATATTATTTAGAAATGTATTGTGGTCACCCTCTATCTAGTTGATTTTTTTTATTTTTTTTATCCTTCTTGTCCAACATTCTATTTAAAAAAAGAAAGTAGTACTTCCTCTTCATCTGGGTAGAATTTGGAGGATCGTTGTAGTTGCGGTGATAACATATATATGGAATGTTTCTGCACCTTTTCCACGCTAAAGTCATTCCAAGGCTGCGTTATCACATTCCCAAGGTTAGCAGCAACACCTCCCATAGCAGCTGCACCTTTCCAGTAAATAAATACATTTCTGTTTGCTGGGTTCCATTTAGATTAGAGTTACTGGCTGGAGAAAAGTACACACACCTCCAAATTGCCCATACACAGGTTCCTGGAAGGCCAGGGGACTAGAGGTGACAAAAAGTAAAAGTATTTTTGCCTATGATTAGCTTATAATGACACAATGAGTCTTATAACCATGCATACAAACCTAAGTACTCTTTATAGACACCAATTAACCTAACATTCAATCACTGTGGGAGGAAACTGGAGTACTAGGAGAACATACACACTCCATGTAGAAATGTCCCAGGTCAGAAGTCAGACCAAGGACCGTTTTCCTACCAGGTAACAGTGCTACAAACTGCAGCCCACATTCACTCTCTCAGATTATTATTTTATTTTTTTGTGAGACTTGACTGAACACTGATACCTGAACAAATAAAAAAAAACTAATTTTCAACTTTGCATGTTGCTTATTAGCTGCAAAAACACTGACACTATAGCTGAGACTGATAATTGTTGAGGTACAGAAACCTGCAATGTTTGCAGTAAATATTGGCTTATTGTTATGATTCCCTCTTGATGTGGAGGTTCTGAAGACTATGGAGATAAGCGATATTCTTGATAGAAAGATGGAGCAGATTTGCTTTAGATTTATCAAACGATAAATAAAAACACTAAAAAAGCTCTGGATTGAATAGACTTTCTGTTGTTGGTTGACTATTGGCTTAACTTAAAAAAAAAAAGGACGAATATGGTTAAAAAGTTGATTTTAAAAAAAGCAGTAAAATTCTGGAACTGTTTTTCTAAGAGAACATGAAGAGGCTTTGATCTAAACCACTTAGAAATATCACAAAACACTCTGTCCATTTGAAAGCGAGGTGGTTCAAAACATTTATACAGGACTGATGATGAAACAAATCAATGCTTTCATAACCAATTTTTCTTGATGTTGGAAGTTTAAATCTCATTTAAAAAAACACCAGATTATTTTCACATCTGCTATCTCTTTAACTCTGAAATAAAGTTTTTTTTTTTCATTCTGTCACAGAGAAAACAGATTCCTCAATTGACCACTCTGAACTATTCTCACTGCCTCCGGCCAGTCTGATCGGTGGAGACGTTGCTTACCTAAACCAAGCTGCCAAGGAGTTGACGGCAGCTGTGGACAAGGAGAAGGAGGGAGAGTTCAGCTCTGCCATTAAAGGATACAGGACAGCGGTGGACATACTGATCACTGGAGTCAAGGGTAACGTCTTAACTTCGTTACTCAAGCTTCTAGACTAGCTGTAAAAAGCTACAGTATAAGGTCTCTTTGTCCATCTGCAAAAAGAAAACAGCAGAGCTTTTAAAATCAAGCTCTTGTATGATTGACCTTCCTTTTACTCCAATAATACTACTAAATATAGCAGGTATTCACCATCAGAGGCTCACTGAAACACGTGGAAGAACAGTAAGTAATACAGCACTCTGGATGTTTTGTCTTCCATTTCTATCTACTAACTGATAGATAACCCAGCAAGGTTCTCATTTTGCTGCTTTATATGTGATGTTCTTTGTTCAGCCTTCTGCACAGTTTAAGTTTGATTGGGCTTTTAAAAATTCTTCTTAAGTAATAAATCATGTTTTTTTGTTTTTCTAAACGTGAAATTACAGTCAGCTTTAGTTTGATTAAGCTGAATCCATTTTGTCGTTGAGCTTATTAAATCTTGAGCAGTTAATTCTTTTATAATTAGACAAATAAGTTTTTTGGATTAAACGTTTTACTTTTATACACATTAGTAATCTTCAAACAAATAGGAAAAAGCACTTTTCACTTCATCTGGCTAATTTAGCTCAAATATGCTTTAATTACCAAGATTTTTATAATATTTACCTCCTTTAAAGGGTTCATGTCTATTCTTGTACCTCTCTGGTTTTATACAAAACGTTTTTGAATTATGGCTCCCTATTGGCTTATTATTACTAATTTCTGCTTTTTTTAAGCTTCACTTTTGGTTCATTTGTTAGTAAGCTTAATTGTTTACGGTATTTAGCATTTAGCATACCAAGAGGTAATGGTAGGTATAATATTGTTCATGTGACCTTCCCTCATTTAAGAAGTAATGGAGCCAGGCAAGTTAGCATCCCCCCAGTAGAGGTGCTCAAAGAAGAGGAATAGTTCAAGACCAAAATATTGGATGCAAAGACAGATAGGACACGAGTAGCACTGAAAATACATTATGAACGTTTGTGCTTACTGAAGCAGAAGCTAATGCTGCTGAAGATACCAAGTTGATGGATATTAGAGTAAGTACTACCAGCAGATGGCGGAGGTGTACATAATGTTTATGTCTGCTGATCAAACCAGTGCAAAAATGATTTTCAGCCTTAAAAATGAATTTTTAAACAATATCAGGACCATCAATTAATCTATACTGCTTTATTTCTGCATGATCATATGGTCTTTGGTGTTTGTTCAGTTTTTTAAAGGCATAGTACATGAGAGGGACTATTTATCATACATCATATATCATTTTGCCCAGCATTGTTTGTCACAGTACTAGTTGCTTTAAATGTTTTAATTATTACTTTTGACTGTAAATATGAGAAAGTTACGATTAGTAGCTATTGTCTTTTTTCTACTTTGTGACATCTGCCTTACTGGATGTTTTCTTGTCTTTCTCATTTTGAAGAGTAGCTAAGGGCTCCATGTTACATAGTTTGAATACACCCACATAACATGAATCTCGGGACCATTAGCTAAACACTTCCAGTTATCTGGAAGTGTTTAGCTAATGGTCCTGAGGTAGCTTTGGTCTTGGTAGCTTTGGTATGATGGGAAGCTGCAGGAAAATGAAACCAGAATCTTCCTCTGTTATCAGAATGAAGAATGAAATTCTTAAAAGTGTCCTAAAAAACACCACACAGAACCCAAACTCATCCAGCAACATGGATCATGTGCTGCATCTGATGCTGCTGGTTCTTGAAACTCTGGCTCCACCTGCAGTCCACACCTTGAATATCACCCTCAAAGTCGTGTGGGCCTTGCTCTATGATTCTCTCCAGCCTGCTTCCTTAAGCTAAGCTCTTGAAGATTGTATTTTAATGCAGCACTCTGTGAACACCCATCTCCTTTTCTAACAATGTTTAGGGGTCCTCCACATTCACCATACCGTCCCTTACTAACATCAACTTTTTATGGGTTTACTGTAGGTTTTTTAAGCTGGATTTAGCTATTTTATTCACTTATCTGTTTCTAAACAACCTATATCACTCAATATCTTGTTTGAATACATTTGTTTTTTTGATAATATCCAAACCATAGAGACTCAGCAATATTCTGGTTTGATATCTTCTGTCACAACATATAGCAGTATACAGATGAAGACCCAATAAAACATGCCTACTAATTTAGATTATGACATTTGCATTAAATCAGACCTGTGAAATATGAGAGGACTATATTAAATTGAAGTACTAACCTTTTATGTGTAAGCACTTTATCAGCCTTTTTGTGAGTGTTGTATTGATCCAAGCATGCATTGCTGCAATGCTGGACCCTGTACTTTCCCTTACAGTGGAGCCAAGTTCCCTTTCATTCCACATTACCACTATATATAGTATATTAACCTGCTATTAGTTGAATGTAAAAATTTCTTTCATTTGTTTTTCAAAGCATTTCTATTTGTGTGAAAAGTAAATATAAATCAAGTAATGGAGTATATAAATCCTTTTTCTTAAAATGAAAGTTGTGTTGTCGTGTTTTATGCTGATTTTAATGGGAAGGTTGTCTTTCTTGACCAAAAAAATGAGTAAAACAAAACAAAAACAAAAATTAGTAACAATATTAAGGTCAGGCAGAAACTAGTAAGACATTTTAAACATAATCACGCCTTCCACAGTGACTCATTCATAACAAGTCAAGCCAGTGTGATGTCACAACCTCATCAGGCAGCTGTCCAAGACTGTCTGGGTTGCTTACATAGGGTAGCGTGGCCGAGCGGTCTAAGGCGCTGGATTAAGGCTCCAGTCTCTTCAGGGGCGTGGGTTCGAATCCCACCGCTGCCAATAAAGTTTTTCCTTTCAGCTAAATAAAAAAAAATTATTGATCTGATTTCAAAAGAATACAATTTTTGATTAAGTTATTCTATTCTTTTCCATATGCTGCAGGAGACCCAGATCCAGTTCGCAGGGAGTCTGTGATGAGAAGGACGGCCCAGTACTTAAAGCATGCTGAGATGTTGGTGGATCAGCACGCTTCACCCAGACATGCTGAGACAGCTGCAAACACACATGCACAGGAGCCATAGATGCAAACTTATACACAAGTCAGCTTATAGGTGCTGAAACTAAATGGAAAAGCAGCTCAAGTTTGAGGTGCACATGAGGTGTTTGAAAATTTGTTTTGAAAAAAAGAATACTAAAGCAGTTTCAATTATGTTACAAACCCTGTTCCTGTATATTTAATACTTTCGTAATGAGGTACAGAATACACTTAATAATTTTTTTTCCCCAGAGATTTATAATCAACAGAATCTAATAACTTGTTACTAATTTAATGGGTAAATATTTGTTCTCTTTGTCTCTGTTTCTTCCTTTCATCTAATTGATGTTTGTAATAAGTTAAGATCGCTGTTCCTACATGGTTTTGCAATTTGCACAATATTTTGTTAATAAAACTGATTTTAATTAAAACTTGTGTGAGTCTTGCTTTGATGTGCTAAAAAATTTAAGTTCCATAAGAAAAGGGTTCTGATCAAACTTTGACAGTTTATGAGCAGAAATACTTCATGTTGCTAAAGAAAAATATTTTGCAAAGCTTTTCAAAAGTAGAAAAAAAAACACCTCTTTGAATTTTAAACATAATTTGATTAAGTTCATTTATATAGTGCCAATTCACAACAGATGTAATTGCAAGGCATTTTAGGGAGACAATTAAACCAGATCATACAGTCAGATTGGTTCAAAGTTTCAGTCAAGGAAAACCAGTGGATTGCATCAGGTCATTAACTTGCAAGACACAGTCCTACCGGATGAGCTTGGAGCAATGATTTTTGCATGCATTTTTGTCATTGACCCTTCAGCAATCCCTCACACCAAGCACGCAGAGAGTGATGGAAAAGAAAAACTTCCTTTAAACAGGAAGGAACCTCCAGCAGAACCAGGCTCAGTGTGAGCGGCCTTCAGCCAAGGATAACTGAGGTTGCAGGACACAGAAGCACAGGTACAAAAGGTACCTGTAAACTAGCTCCTCAGGTGGCTCCATCAGGGAAAGACACTGGGTTCTACCTTTGTCATACCTCATCCAAAACATTCATCCTTATATATTTTCATATATCTATGATGCTATATGTTTAGGCTGCTGGAGGACATGGGGACCACTTTTCATCATTCTGCTTCATTCTATCTCTAATGTATTCTGCAGTGTTTTTAGGTTCCATAACTTTATGTTCTTTTTCTGCTATTTCCTGTTATTGTAGCTTCACCTGGTCTATTCCTGTTGACTGAAATATCAGCTTTAAACAATTTGTAATAATTTTTGTGGTTTTATTCAGCTGTATAAATACTTGTTATAGGCATGCAGGCCCATAAAAGGGAAATTTTGTTCGCACAGGCTAATATGTTAAGGAAATCCAGACCATACACGTGGATGTTAAATATAGTTCATGATCGTAGGACAAATGCACAATAAATGGCAAAATAAATCTATCAGGAAGCTTAGATTTTAAAAACCAGCCCTTCTCTATTTAAGTGTCTGATTTCTGACCACTTTAAGTGGTTATAGAATGGGTGCTCGGTGTGTATAACTCTTACTATGAGGAGGCGGACCATTGCTCTATCATTGAGTTCTAGGATGTTTGGTGTAGGTGAACAAATTATTTTAAATGCAATATAAGTAATTTTGAGGTTATTTAAATATGGGACTGAAAAAAGTGTTTGAAAAAATAGGCAGAACAGAAATGACTGAATAATAGCAGCAGAAAGAGATGAGGAACAGCATGAAGGGCACTGATTGTATGTATGATGTAATCTTTTCTAAGTGTTTATAGACATATGTTAAAAATAAAATTGTTGTCCTTTTGTACCTCTGCAAGGTAAGTCATGCTTTGTTTCTGATATCAGCTGATCTCTTCCAATTTCTTTCCAAGTTAAATTCTATTTATTTGATCCCTCCTATGAACTGGATGTTTTTGTTTTGTTTTTTTTGTAAATTGGGGAGTTCTAATAATCATAATAATTCCTGAGACTCCTTGTGTCTTTGACTCAGCCGCTCACAGTGTAAATTCAGGCACTTGCAAAGGCTTGATATAATGCACAGATAAGTTGATTGTTTGTGATCGTAAAATATTTATTTCTGGAATAGCAACCCCAAATTTGATGTCATTAAAATATAGTTTTCTACGTAATGAGTTTTGTTTTTCCAAATAAAGTTGATTGATTTTGCTTGTAATGCGGGGAGAATGGCGCACGGCTTACCGCACCGTCACGTCACTGCCGGAAGATGTCAGGAGTGAGGAGTTACCGTATTTGGGTAAAAATGGCCGCTCCCGCACTCAGTGATCACCACGAAAATTCAAAATTTTCTATTTTCTATAATTTCTATAAATTCTAAATTCATTAGACAAATAAGTTAAAACCACAAATCAAAGACAGTGTTTTTGAAAAGGTTTAATTTCTTCATAAGCAATAATTTTTCGAATGAGACCTTGATGACATCATTACAATATACCTTTTTTACGGTTGCGGGGGGATAGTTAAGGTCTTATTTTCTTAAACGCTTTTAGTTAGTAGTGGTTGCAAAGACAACCGCATGGCTGGTCATTACGATAACATTGGTTTGGTAAAGATAAGTCTTTAAACACTATTTTAAATAACATTTTTGGGCAGTCTTGTGCAGTCCGATTTTTTGGGAAGTCCTTAAATGTAGCATCACAACAGCAGCCGTTTTTTTTTTTTTTTTTCAGTTTAGCAGTTTTAATAATTTCAAGTTAACAGTACTCCATTCAGTCGAAACAATAGGAGACCAAGACGGACAAAATGAGTTCAGAACACACAGATATGGACAAACTTCAGTATTTGAATGACCAGGTGGAGAGGTGAAACTGTCTTTTTATTTTTTCATGAAGTGTTTCTACTCAGATTGATCAGATTGTATTTTTCTTAAACAAAGGCCAAATTGTTAAAAGGAAAGAAAGAGTTAAAAAAAATAGGCTAAACTAATCTACTAGATACCACTGTGTTATGCTAACACTACAAACAGTGATGAGTATGAGTGTTCTGCTGTTTCTATGACAACATGCTAAAGTGCCCATATTTCTAAAATCAACTTTAAAATTCCTTCATTACAATCATGCATAAAGTTGTATAAAGCATGTGTTGTGTAATCCTCATCTGAATCCCTCTGTCTAAGAAGCAGCCCCTCCCATTGTTATTACCTTCTTAGCATAGATTTCCCTATAGACTGCCTTAAAAGTTTCTAGAAGTTTCTATAGGGTGCCATTGCCTAATTCACATATCCAGCCATCCAGCTGAACAAGAGACAAATAATGACATCAGCAAGATAGAGAGTGATTAAAAACACTGTAAATACACTTAAAACTAAGGCTGAACGCTACATAATAATTTCAAATATTAAATAACAGTTTAGCTAAACAATAGCTACATAACTCAATCTTGTTTAATTAAACATCAAAACAGTAGAGGCGCACACAGTTACGGAAGAGGATTAGGGCCACTGAAGAAATGTTTAGATACTATTTCAGTTTAATATGGGGAAAGAAAGTCAGAATTCTGACTTTTTTTTCTCAAAATTCTGATTTTTTTTTTTTTTTAAATTGTGACTTTTTTCTCACAACTCTGACTTTAATCTCAGAATTCTGTCTTTTTCTCAGAATTCTGCCTTTTGTTTTTAAAGATATTTTTATTAGAATTTTACAAACACACACACACACACAGAAACATGAAAAATAAAGCAAAATAGACTAAAAAAAAAACCCAAAACAAAACAAAGCAAGGTGCATTCCCACCCCCCACCCAAAAAGAACACTAAACCCTAGGGCTCACTCTATCTACACACTCAAAAAACGAGGAAAAATTAGCTTTACATGTCACAGTATTTTATAAGATGTAGGAAGGGAAACCAAATATCCTTAAAGTCTTCAAGCTTTCCTTTTGTTATATATGTCAGCTTTTCCATTGCCAGGTTGTTGGTCAATAGTTTAATCCATTCATTTATCTTTGGTCTTTCTGTGTTCTTCCACTTCAGAGCAATCAAATGTTTAGCCTGCAAAAGGCTAAAACTCAAAAGCTCACTAAACACTGTTAGACAAAATTACAGCCTTA